TGTTTTCATGAAGGTAATTGATTACTACATGCTTTTAAAAGTATAACCGTAAATTTTCAGCTCCATACATGCGCTAGTTTTCGGAATAAATGAAATTTAGCCCCAGTGTTCCATGCTAAAATCAAGATTTCTCAAAAACTAGGCTTGTGGAAGACTGGAAACTTACTGTTGTTTTGCTGACGGCCTGTAGCAAAGAATTGCCTGTGTTATAAGCTTCGCTTTTGTATGAGCACAAAAATTTTGGTTTTATCGAATTCTAGCTGAGTGAAAAATACAGCAACGGCATATATACATGTCTGATATGAAGAGTTATTTTTGTGAGCAAGTGGGAGATACGTAGGATGGTTTTGATCAGATATAGAATTTTTTCGATTTTTTGAGCATGAGTACGACTCAGATACTTCAAACTTGCGGCAAATCGAAGCTAGTGCAAAATTGCACATGATATTTTGTAGTGCTTGCTTTGCTCTATCGAATGGTACCCGAAACTCTCTTGGAAACATGAAATGGATGACTTATCGCCATAAGTAGTCAGAGTGTAACAAGACTTATTCAACAACCTAATTTGTCCGTGTGTAAGTTCTAAAAGTACGTTTTGGCTTTTTCAAGCATTCGCCCAACCTCGCAGAACGACGACCGAGGAATTTTTTGAGATCAGTGTTTTTTGCTTTTAGTAACAACTTTTTTGTTCTGACATATGCAGGCTCTGCGACACTTTCGCTAAAGTTCGAATGAACTTGTGAATGGCACGAATTATTCTATTATTAAGACCTTTCGCTTCTCGGGCGTAGATACAAGGATTTCAGAATCCTCAAGTCAACTTCGTAAAGCTTGAAGGAGTGGACGTGTTGAATTCCTAAACAGCGAAAAGAGAAAAAAAGCAGTATTGCACTATAGAAAATTCAGTCATTGGTCGGCTAATTAATCTTTCCAGAAGTCCCAAATAGAAGTAATGGAAGTTTGAAGCGAGAAGTCTAAACGTTATTCTTAAACTACTATCTGGGCAAATTTTTTTGATTTCAGTTGAAAGTTATTAGAAAAGAGGAGAAAATGTTGCACCGAATACGGGCTGGCTTGGTTCTTGGTGGCTCCTAAGCTTTCGAAAATACTTTCGTAAAAATCAATACATTGTAGAAGTAAATTGCTCATGATAGTTTGTCGCGGCCTACACGATACTGAAATGAAAATTCGAGCTTTTACAAGGAAAAGGTAGTTCTATAATATAATATGATTAAATTCCAGACATATCACGAAGAAAAGAGGGAGGATACAAACAGTGAATTGAATTCGAACAGTGCTTTCGGACCTGTTTACAGACTGTGCAGTATCACCAATGCATATTCTGTAAGAGAGAAAACACGGTAAAGAGGGTTCCCAGAAAGAGTGCTCTTTGAAAAGATAATGCAGAGAATTAGCAAAACAGTTATTTAGTGTACTCGATAGCGAACCAAAAGTTGTTCGCTTAAAAATGTAGAAGCCTGGAATCATCGGGATGTCGCTACCATTTACGTAGACGACTGCTTGAATGTCTTATTTTACTGCATAAAAGAAGTACGAGGAAGAACACACGCAGAACTAACTTGTACCACTATTCTGGCCTTGAAAACCCTACAGATTCAGCTGTGAGATCATATAGAACGCTAGAAACTGTAATTTGAGATTTCACGTTGAAGAAGAATTCGCTTGCATTTGAACAAACATTTGACATCAAAAAGTCCTAAACTATCAGGTTGATGCGTAATTTGAAACAATCAGGTTGATGCGTAATTGTTGCGCTCATATATTCAAAAGCTTTCTCTTTTAATAGCTTTCGAATTTTGGTGTCCAAAATTGCTGAAACGTATATTGAGATCTAAATTTATTTCTAATCTTGGTTTTATAATCCGCTCTTTTCAACTGTAAGAAGTTGATGGTCGGATCTCCAAGAATAGTGATGATTTCATTTCTAATTCGGCTAATTGGTTTTATTTTGAACTGGTTTCCTGAAATATTAGGTTGTCATGTGATCTTTTCATTTTTGAGTTTTCGCTTTATCAAGTCATACGTTTCCTATTCTAAATAGACAAACGGTACCACTCGACACAGCAAAGCAAACTCTAAAAGATGGCGTTTATGCTTTTGCACCAACTTCGATCCAACTCGACTTGAAAGCCAAAATCCAAAAAGCTCAAAATGCCCAGAAAAGTGGAAATTTTTATATCTTTACTCAGAAAGCTCCTGCACATTTTTTCGCTCATTACGTATGACTTGTAGTATATAACTGTTAGTGTTAAACTCTTTCTTTCCCTATCAAACTCAAATCAGCAAAGTTAGAGTCGGAGAGGTGCAACAGTAGATAGAACATGTGCAGTATTTACACAGTAACTGCACTCATTACCTCGATAGCGCATCAAAAAAACTTAACTGCTCAAGAGTTGAATAAGAAGTAGCAGAAGCGCCATAAAAACCATAACACAGGCTTGCAAAGATTTATTTGCACATCCCATCTGCATGGTTAAGAAATAAACAAGCTCAATGCGTTCACATTGTGATATGCAGTCATGTCAATCATACCTTTTCGTAGAATGTCGGGAAGGAGTGCTTCAAAACAGAATACAGTTTTGAAGAGAGGTAAGTGTTGCAAAAATAAATTATAGTCTGTAAGATTGCTTCGTTTTCAAGAATGTAAACGGGTAGAGGACTGACTATATGTCGCCGTAAAAGGGCGGTTCCCGCGGTCATTTGCAACAAATACGCACCCTTGAACATGCGCGGACATGCATTCCTGCAGGAAATCCGCGCGGGACTCTTCCACCTTCGGCGACATATAGTCCTCCACCCTATGTAAACAAGTGCTGATAATAGGACCTCTAAGAGCTCCACTGAGTATTCACATATTTGCTACAAGATTTACACAGCATCAAATTTCCATGTGCGTTCAATCACCTTCTCTATTGTACTTGATCTCCGATTCGGAGTGTCTACAAGTAATCACCTTGAATCTATTAGGTTGTAATCTTAATCTATTAGATTGGCGAATAATTTTTCTTACATATTTGTAATTTTCTAATAATTCCAAAACTCTGGAATCTTCAAATTTGAGCCATACGTACGGCACATCAGGACGTTCTGGAATAGCTAGCAAATTAACGACAACTTTTTAAGCACACTTAAAATTGTCATTTTTCTTTGAATTTTTCTCCGCGTCTAATTGTGCTTTTTGTCTCCTACAAATTTCTTAGGCATATTTTTGCATTGTCTGCTGCCGCATGCACGTCGAAAAGGAGTGTGCTCAGCTGCGATAATAACTGATAATGACGGTTCGTTTGTTCTGGAGAAGGTGAAGTGGATGAAGAGGATAAGAATGGAGCGTGTGGAGAGTAGTTATTTGGCATTTGAATTTTGGCTGAGAATTTCACTTAAATTCATACACTAGGTTCCGGATAATGCAGGTTCCTTACTCGATGATGACAGTGTTGATATAGAAATGTGGGAAGCATATCAACCGATAGAGCAAAGCAACCTCAAGACTATATTCTAGGTTGGCTGAAAGATAAGTTCGACCGTTTTTACCGGTTTGTAGAATTGTCACAAATCAGTTCTTGCGTGTGCATATATGGTACCACTGGAAAAAGCAAATCAAGGGGAATCGGATGGTCAACTCTGTTTTCTCAAAAATAATTTTTCTGATAATGAAATGGCGAAGGCAAGAACATTGATCAGACTTTTTCCTCAAAATTTCGAAAAATCACGCTCCGAAAAACGAACTGAAGTCAGGTGTAAAGCGTAGATTCGCTATCAACAAATTTTTAAATTTCCAACCATTTGCATGGCCATAGATGGCCAAATTTGAGTTATCTGGAATGCCCAATATTTGACCTTTACGCGCAAATGCCTGGAAATTTTCACAGTTTTGACTGCAGAAATTCAGAAACCAGGTCACAATCTCTACTGTGGTTCGCCACCTAACCAGAGGCCATTTATATTCAGCTACCAAATTACTCGTCTGTGTCACTGCACTGAGAACGAAAGCTATAAAGTCAAAAAACAATTTTTAGAAGTCTGGCCATATAATTTAAATTATAAATTCAGAAACCAGGTCATACCATACCATACCATAATATAAGGTTATAAATATTTTTTGGTAATAGAAATTCTTGACTAATTAGAGAGTAGAGGCTTGAGGCTATCTTCACGAAAATGTCTTGACTGAATAGCTGTTAAGTGAATTGGTTTGTTATAAAGCTTTGAATTTGCATGCCAAAACGAACTTATTTATTAGCCAACCTAATAGATCGATTGCAAGAAGTTTAATCCACGTGAAGTTTGATAGCGAAATCCAAGAAATTTAAATACTCAAAATCAGATTCCCGTCCAAACAATGATCCTGAAGGCTTCCAAATTGGTCAAGCATATATTGTCCACATCAAATTCATATGTACAGTTGCGATGATTTTCCACGATTAATTGAGAAATGAAAGTTGGTATGTCTCAGCAAATGCAATGCTGAGCTGTTCTGCATGGGTAGTTTCATACTACAAACCATTAGAAGTACAACCATGGAGTTTCAGCTTTTTAAGGACTAGTTCCGCGAAATATTGAGCATAAGTAACCTAAAAGGCGATATTTTCGCATGTTTGGAACATTTTAAAGTTTAATATTTAGCCATTTTGTAGAAATGCGGTAAGTGTGCATGTAAAATGTTTGATGTAGGGAGATGTGAGTGACCAAGAACTTCTGCAGGATTTCGAATGGGATCTAATTTTCGGATATTTGAATTTTCTAGATTTTGCTTTCAAACTTCATGTGGATCAAACTTTTTGCGATCGTTTGATGCAGTTTTATAGAGCTTGCTTTGCTCTATGGGATGTTGTGTTTCACACTTTTTTTTATTAGTATTGTCGCGATTGAGAAAGGAACCTGCACTAATTTTCGGACAATCTAATATAATTATTTTTGTTTTGGGACTGAAACGCAATGTGTGTTGATAAAAAATTGAAAAGTCTTACAACTCTGTCCTACTAAGAAGCGGAAATCAGCAGCGGGATCATCAAAAGAAGGAAAGGTGTAAGTAGACACAATGCAAAAACAACTGCTATAACTTTTGTAGCTGTAGAGGTGGGCTCAGTAGGAGAACCACCAGTCCTGATATGTTCAGGATGATTCCTTATTCCAAGTGCCAAAGCCGGGACCTGAAAAGATTCAAAAGTTTTAGAATAACCCTACAAGCCCCCATAATCATTAGTCCGAACAGTCCGTTTTCTTCTTGAAAGTTTATGCATGGCTCTTTACAGACCTCATTTCTGCTTTCGTGATCAGTCCGTTCCTGCATCATTTCACATTGATAGGGAATATGTGCAAAGCTCTGCAAATGCTCACCATCGTTTCAATTCACAAGCATGAGTAAGTCATTTCTAAAAGGCTTCTGGTATCAAGTAATCGTACCTCACGAATCAATGCACGGTCTACCGCCAGAGCGTCTTGCCGTTGACCTTGGAGGCTACAACTTGCGGTGTTCTATATCAGAAACTTACTGGTTTCTAATGTAGACAAACGTAATCAAAAAGTACTTGAAAGCAGTTATAGTGTGCATGTGAACAGGGGTATCGGGCGCATTCTATTAGGTTGGTAAGAAAGTTTTCGGACATTTTCATGCTAAAATTGCTATTTCTCGGGTTGTAATGCATCTACGAGCAAGAAAATTTGTAGTTGTACTCTCACACGCGGCTTATACCTGTGCAGGTGGGAGGAGCTTAGTGTCAATAGAGGCGGAGTTTGCCACTTTTCGATTGTCTCATTTTCTCTGCTAATTAAGCTCAAATTTCTACACAGACTTTGCATATATGTATGTGAGTTCATGTCTACTATATTTTGGAATATTTGTGAGTTACGGTGTTTACGGAAGGCGGAGTTCTGAGCTCTGTCGAAATCCTATATCTTCGAATTTTTGCCTCTATTTTCACAGGATTCATTAGTCATAGTTGTGATTAGTATGGTCTTGTAGTGTTTGCTTTCCTCCATCCAATGATGTACAGCATGCCTTATTTGGTGCTTGCATCGGACCAAAATCTTTGCGTAAATGTAATGTCCAAGAACTTTCTTACCAACATATATATGCATAAGCTATTCGTGCACAAACGCAACGCAAGACTTTGGAGCTGCGATCCTACTGACGGAAAAGGGAGTATAAGATTGACACGGACCGTATTGTATTTTTGCATTATCTTTTGAAAAGTACTACAACATAAGCTTTCAAAATCAAAAAGTTTGCAACTCACATCTATCTCAGAAATAGTCACAATGCTCCTCTCCTCAAACTTTGCCTCAGTCATATGACCATTGTGATTTATGAGGCAGCATACTGAGCACATTTGTCTCTGAAATACAGAATAATATAGGTATATTGAAGAACATTGGTGACATTTAATGCATCGAAATTACCATCAGCTATTTAGCTTATACTCAACAACTGGATGTTCGAATCACATTGCATGTAGCAGTATATACCCAAAGAATTTTGCAGCCGGAATGTAACTGATTGTTTTTAGCCGTGAAGATATCTCTAGGGGCTAAAACAAGCATTTTCTCACTTCATATTTTTACCATAAAGAACGATAACGTTATTCGATAGCATTGAAATGGATAAGGGAAAATGTTTCTGAATCGTGAGCCACGTCTTCAAAGCGTTTGGACACTCGCACAAGATTCACCGAGATGTGAAGTTTCAAATCAAAACTCAAGATTATATCTCGAAAAAAAAAGTCGGATCTCGGCATGAAGAAATAGTGGAATGCTGCACTCGCTTAGGCGTATGTTCTCCAAAGTAGGCATTATATCGGCGCTTCAGCGTGTCGTATGTCTTCGAATGCTTTCTATACGGATGTCGTGAACATAGCTTTATACTGTCATGAATTAAGAGTACACAAAATCTTATAAAAACCTTATAAAAACCATTTTAAGCACATTCCCACTCTATATAGATACCACGTCACCTCCGCTTCGCGGAGGTTCGCACTGGCTCAGCTATCCATATGCCCTTCTCGTGCTCTTATAATGATGACTTTGAAACTCACCGCGCGATGCTGAACATCACAAAAGAATTGTAAACAACTGTTCATTCTTGAGGCATTATCATGTAAGATTGGTAATTTTGAAAAAGGAAACTTTTTCGCAAAGAAATAAATGCGAATTGATTGGATTTTCGAATCTATTTGGCTTGATAATCTTCATAAGGATGATAGTCAATTTAGGCTACATTTCCGTGCAAAAATCTTTTCAGTTTTTTAGGTAAAACCTTGCCAAATCGACTATCTACGCGATCACCGCTTTTTGGCGCTGTTTTCGCAGAAAAACGAACTTTTGGAGCACTTCTTGGTCTAGAATTTATGCGGCGCAGATTTACTTGTCAGGCAAATCATGATTTTGCAAAAAGTCGAATTAGCGACCTAGTTTTGCGTACCGAAAGCCGCGTGAACCCGTCTGACGTGCAAATTATGAAGGACCCGCTTATCGAGCCGGCTTGTCCTTGTGCATGGTGCACCTACATTCTGGTACGGTATGTTATGCGAAATTGTAGCTCGCTAGCTTGGGTGCAGCTCCCTCTATGAAACTCGTAATAGACAAAACACCACACGCACGCAAAAAGACGCTTAGCGTTTTATTATCATGATGATAGTCCATGATACATTGGTCTATACCTTCTAATCGCGATCCGCGATACTCACGGGCACAGTATTGAGCATATATCTTCTTATAGCTATACCAAAAATATTGTTCTCAGCACCGATATAGAGCATATAGATACTACAGGGTGTCCCAAAAATGTGAACATTGTTTGATCGTTAGTAACTTCCTTGCTTTCATGCCTTTCGCCGAGCTTGAGGCAACAATCTGTAGGGCGAGGTTTAAGTAGATGTATAGTATGGAGCGAATCACCTCGCTCCTTCGTTATTGTAAAATAACGGTAAGAACTTCCAGCATGTGAAGCCATCGTGAAATATGCCATCTAACAAATTTTTTTTTTAACCTGAAGAATCACCTACTGGGGCGTAGGCTGAATCCACTACACAACATTTTACGAGTGTTTTCAGTTTTTTTGGACAGTGGTAATCACATTTTTCACAAATGCTTCGAATTCACTTATTATGGTTTACCCGGGATATTTTTGAAAAGAAGCATCATAGAAAAGTGAAAATTTCATTCTCGAAATCAGCGGCTTCCATCACCGTTGCTTAAAAGTTTTTGGCTTGTTTGGTTTTGCTCTAAGTCAGAATATGGCCTCCAACGGCCTAAAATTCTTGTCAAAGTTCCTACCGTAATCCAACATTAATGAAGAGCAATCGATAATTCGCTCCATACTTTAAATCTAAGTTGAACCTCATTCTACATAATGGTATCTCAAGATCGCGAAAGATATGAAAGCAAGGGAGTTATTAACGATCAAACAGTGTGCTCATCTTTCTGGGACACCCTGTATAAAATATGTTTTCAAACTGAGCGAAAAACGCTAACCTTTTGAAAATAAAAAGCGCTCAAGTGCATCGTTGCGATTTCCTGGAACAGCTAAGAAAGGTGCGCAGGCTGTCGTTCTGATGCTGAGTAGAATGTATTTAGATGGATCTACCTTTGATTTGCATGATTTTCGGAAATCTTTGTGGCAAGGGGAATAGCTACAGGGTATAACAAAAGCCCTCAAGCTTATTTTGGCAAGATATCGACTTTGTCATAATGTATCTGCAATTTCAAACAAAAACTCGTCGTTTATTTTTCCCAAAGGTAAAATGTTTGCATTGTGCGTTCTCTGGTAATGACTCTTGGAGCAAACAGTGCTATTTTAGGTTGAGCTAATTGACACGTACACACTCATCATACACATAGTCCATTTTTCTTGGTTAGCTTTTGAGAGTTTTCAAGTCTCACACTGTAAAGTTTGCGTCAAAATTACCGGCATGTGTCTGCTTGGATGCCGGAAAGATACAAGGCAGCCTAGATGACGGTCTATGGATGCATCTGTTTTAACCAACCAATCGTAATGCTAAAGCCGAATCAGAATTTGGCTGCTTAATTCTCGAAAAGATCAGAATTCCACTCGACAGCGAAAGTGTGCTCTGTAGGCAGGCACAACTCGGAGAATTTACACGATATTTGGAACCTTTCCTCTTGCTTTGAAATCGGGTATCAAATTAGAGCAAGCCTCCTTTCTTAACATCGTTAAGCATGGAATCTGGATTGATGCGAAGATGGTTTTTTAATTTTTCAAGAACATGCCTAAAGGCAGCATATCTAAAATCAGTGTATTTTGGCCCTGGTGATGCCGAACATCAAACATGTCTTCTAATCAGTTTAAAAACCATTATCAATAACCGCGCATGTACGTGTTCTTCTACACGTCTCATGAACAATGAAATGCTTTTTAACTGGAAGGTTTTGCGTGTCTGGAGTCTTGCAATGGATTCTGAACCTAAGGTCGTTGTTCGTACGTAGATATATTTCGCTATATTTTGTATTTCGCAAAAACAAATCTCACTAAATGCAACTCAGACTATGTGACAAAGAAGGCGTGCTTTACAACCTCAGCGCGAAATGGTTCAAAAAGACTTCGAGCTTATTTTGCAGAGCAAAACAGGAATTCACAGAAAGTTTTTATTTTTCCGAGCTGCTAATTCAAGCTTATTCTTTTGAAGCTCACATTCTTCTAAAGAAATTTTTTTTCAAATTCTGTGAAATGTCACTTGTAGAGTTTGACTAGGGCATAAGGCAAATTTGAGCCCGTGATTCTAAGGCAGTTTTTTCGTGGCAGTGGCGCAAATTTTGCGCCGGTAATTTTGGCGCACCATGTTGTAATTTCACTTGCAAGACAATGCAAAACGAACCATCAGTCTTTCTTTGATTGGAATGCAAATTCTTAGGCCCGTATGTACGTATCCCCGCTGGAGAGGGGAGGAAATCTGAGAGGGGATGTGTAACCGTGTTGTCATTTTCTTTTGTTGGTATTGTGTTGTTTTTTTGGTAGTATTGTGTTTGCGTTGTATTGTTGTGTTGTTACTATATATTAATGTTGAGTTTTTTCCAATTCTAAGGGGATAGGCTAGGTTTCTATTTGGAAGATTGGATGTATGCATCACAGATTACGAGGGCCGCAAATGCGCGCCAAAATCTATTGATCTCTTGATTGCTCCGCCATTTTCTTCTAAGTGACTGCCTCACTCTCGGTCCAGCCTCGTCTTGCATTGCTCCCTTTTGCCTTTTTTGCTCATTTCTTTCTATCGTCCTTTCACCCCGTTGTAGCGGGCACGCAGCCTCAGACGCTCTCCCGCGAAGCGGTTTTGACCGCGGCGCAGGGTCGATACGGCTGATCAGCTGTCCGTCCGTCCGCTGCCACGGGAATAGGTGAGTTTTTGATAATATTATTATCTTTTTGCTTGCAGTTTGCAACAAAAGGTTGGAAGGTAAGTCGAGAAAGTTTATTAACTTTATATATAGTGAATTGTTCGTTGAAAAAGCTGACTATCCAATCTAAGCGTAATGTCAGCCAGTTTTTGAAATTTCCGTTCATGTAATCAAGATATCACTCACAAATAAACTTGAAGACATTCTCAACTTATCTTCCATCCTTTTGTTGCAACCTGCAAGCAAAAAAAATACAAAAATTATCCAAAACTCGTCAGTTCCTGTGGCAGCGGACGGATGAACAGCTGATCGACCGTGTCGACCCTGCGCCGCGGTCAAAACCGCTTCGCGGGAGAGCGTCTGAGGCTGCGTGCCCGCTACAACGGGGTGAAAGGACGATACTTATTTGTCGGCGTGTTCTTCTTTGCTGGTATTTTCTTTTGTTGCGCTGCTGTTATCTTTTGATAAAAGGTTCGTTTCTCTTCTGTGGTCAAGTTAGTAAGAACCGCGGTAAAGAGCCGCACCGTTGGTCGGGTATCTAGACAAATAGTGTTTGTTTGTTTTACTTGCTCTTTTCCGCCACTGATGCGTCGTATATCGCTAATCTTCGTATTTTTCTTCTTCCTTCTAACTTGCTTACGAAGATTCTCATACCCTTATACCGCGCATAATGGACGCCAGGTTACTTACGGATTAGTTTTTCACTATTTTGTGATTCCCTGGGGATTAAGAGGTGATTGCCCAGGGGATTCCCGGGAAATCACCTCTCAATTTCAATTCTATTTATCTCCCTGTAAACTCAATAAAACGCTGTAAAATTGTACTGTGGATATACTATGGCGCAGCTAAAGATGATTATAGTGGGAACAAGTGAAAACTCAGGATATCGAAATCTTTGATAATCCCTAGCTCGCGAGCCAGGGATTGTCGAAAAATTCACAATCTTCTCCATTTCTTCTGTCGAAAATATGCTTAGCAGTGCCGTAGTATATCCTCAGTACAATTTTACAGCTTTTTCGTTGACTTCTCAGGAATATAAATCACTTTGAAAATGAGAGGTGATCCCCTGGGGATCACACAAAATGGAAAAAATCAATCTTGTACGAAAGTAACCTGGCAGTCCATAATGCGCAGGTATAAGTGCATGAAAAACTTTATAAGCAAGATAGAGAAAGGGAAGAAAGATGCGTAGAGTACCGAGATATGCATCCCCTTTTCAGATCCCTTTCCCTGTCCAGCGAGGATGTACGTGCATACGGGCCTTAGTCTGTGATGGAAGGATGGAAGGAGGAAGGAAAAAGAACGAAGAAGGAAGAGGAGGAAGAAGTGTGGACGAACTTTTTGCAATTAAAATTCCGGACGTACTTTCGATACATAGAGCCATGTACTCTGGTAATTTTTACTTTGAGCGCCATGATAGAACACAACCTTCATCATAAAATAAAGCCGTCCGGGGCGAAGCCCCGGATGTTATAATTCTGAATATATCGGAGTGAATGTGAATGAAGCAATTGATGAAATAATATCTTTAGATTATTTCAGGGAAATCGAAAATTTGCGTTTTTATAGCCTTTTTGACGCTAAATAAAAGGTTTCTGTGAACATTTCTCCAGAATTCAGGACAACATTTCTCACAAGCTTAACCGAAGGTATGAATCCGAAAAAGGTAAAACTGTAATACCAGGGTAGTCTTTGTTGAGGATTGCCATTATAAGGTGCGTTTATACCAAATCTTGTTTGACAGCTACGCCAAGTACCGTAATTGCTGTGGTACCTCCAGGAATTTGCCTAGATTTTCACTTCCAAAACCGCAGACATTCATTCAACTCTCAAACTGACGTCTGCTCGTCGCCGACTCCCAATGTTTCTTTTGTGTCACTCCTGGAAAGCATGGCTTATTTCAATGTCCACCATGATTTGATTTTCAGGAGTTTAGAAGGTGTGACACACTCTCGAAACCAAATCCGCCTGCCACCGTGGTCGCACTTTTTACGTGTTTAATGGCTTAGGCTGGATCATACTGATCGAGTTCCGAAACGGTTCTAGCGCAGTTCTCGCACTGTGCTGGAACTGTTCTGCAACTGTGCCGCATTCGCTGCAGCCGCCCGCATGCTGTTTTAACGGCGCTAATTAGCAGACTTTAGCTTTCTTGAACAGTTTTGATTTTATATCTTGTCCATTTTCGTCTCATTCTTGCAACTTGCTTCTTCTTCTTTTGGAAAAGGAAATTGAAAATCGAAGCGTGGTTCAAGAATGATATTTTTCCATTTTTATCATGCGCAAAATACGTGTTTCCCTTCCCACGTTCGTTCTTCTTTGTGAATTTTCTGTAGAACATTTTTTTGAATTCCAAAATGTCGCGTCCTCGATATCACGAGCTGTCTTCAAGAGGGCTGATAGTATCATCATGACTGCGGAGATCTCGGATTTTTCTCGTGTTTCGCTGAGATTTGGTTTTTTGGGCCTTCAGCCGTTTTCTCTCTACAATTCATACTGCTTGTTTCGTTCATGATTACCGCCGTTTCTGATGAAAAAACTGCGAACGTGGAAAATGGACACGGATGGAAGCGGTATCACTTTGTGACAGCTGTCATCCTGATGTACAACAAAATATCGCTCTTTTTTGAACCCCTAACCGAGTTGGAATTTTCTACATTCGCGAGAGCAAGCGAGGTAGGAATGAGACGAAAAGAAGCAAAATGTATTTTGAAAAGTTGAAGAAAATCATAAGTTGCTAATTCGCGCCGCCCAAAACCGCATGCGGGCGGCTGCAGCTCATGCAGCACAGTTCCGGAACAGTTCTAGAGCACAGTGTGAGAACTGTGCCAGTACTTCCGAAACTTCGGATCAATATGAACCCAGCAGTAACGTAAAGGAATTTAAAATTGAGCTTACTTTTTTTGTAAATCTTATATATAAAGCTGAATGTCTGTCTGTATGTATGTATGTCTGTCTGTATGTCTGTACGTATGTGCGGAATAGAAATTTTTATTTCTGAACCGATCGGGACCAAACTTGGCACACATATATTTCGGGGCAGGGAGCGTGTCATAGGCTACTTTTCGTTATCGATCGATATCGATTTTATCGATTTTTTGCAAAATTTGAGCTACGGGGCTGGGAGTTGGCACAGGGGGTAATCGAGCATGCTGATTACGAATATAATAATGACAGGGCCGGGCGGAGCCGGGTTTGCCAGCTAGTGTCTAAATAAGCTGCATATCTGACTTTGTTTGTATATGTCACTGCTTGGTATAGGCTTAGATATTTGGATTACTCTAAAAAGCATCAGCAACTGGATGATTTTCTTTATAATAGGTTGCTCATAGCAAAGCGTAATGATCTTTCGTCATATGAGGGCCGACGCCTGCCGTGGGGAAATGCTTCGTTCTGCGACTTTCTCAGCTGTATCCAGGATCGACCGTGATCCTTCCTGACTTTTAAGCACATATGACTTCTTTTGGAAAATTGCTTAGCAGATAAAGACGCCTTCAGAAATAATTTTGAGGCGCACCTGTCTTGAACACTGTTAAATTGCCAATGCGATTTGTTATGCCTTCCTGGTTTTGGTTGAGCCCAAGCATCAATTAATACTCTAGTGTACTTCTGTTCCGCATATGTCTCGTACATTTTGTTCACTCTTTGTTAGCGCTTTTCTCAGGAGCTCAAAGATGCTTACAAAAGGAATGTTTCGTGCAGACAAATAAACAACAAAAAAATAATAAGAAAGAGTCAAACTGACTTTGAGATCTTTTATACTGTGTATAGCATTGAGCCAGCAACAATCGTTAGCGCGACAGACAAGTCATTTTATAGATCAGAGCAGTTTTCATTTGAACTGCTACCTGTCTATTTTCATAATGCTTCCAAAATTAAAACAGCAGTTGTCATATTTGTGGAATCAAAAAATTATTTATAGTCAATTCGTTGACCGCATGGGCTGGAAATCACCGCGGAGGACGCGCCGCGAGTTAAAACGCTTGCTCCAATACATATTCGCCATTGCTAAGATCGTGCTCTCGCAAAATTTTATCCGCACCGCGCGGATCCATTGCGTTTGAGGGTCGGATCGACGATATAGTGTAATATGTTAACACTATAAAGAAATACAGTAGTTAGTTGGCGCGTGTCAACTCCTTCCCATCTCCTACATTCTTCTTTCGTCTCTGTCTTTCAAAAATAATTCCAAAGGTACCGGTCTTTAATGGTGTATGGTATCACAAAAATTGTGTTTATCTAGAAGAATATTTCATTTGCCCTGATAATAAATACGAAACGACCAAGTTTGATCAAAGAACGCAGTACCAAGTCTCCAAAGATATTTGCATTATCCTTACAAAGCTGATGAGCGGCACCGCATGCTATTGATGTATAGAACGACTAACCGCTTTTTCATCTTCTGAGCAGTTACAACACGATAGGTACATGTCATTCATCAACACAGTGTTGCAGATTGAGCATTTTAAAAGACAGTCGCCTTCTCCTTGTTTGTTTTCAATCATCTTGATATTAGTAGTCAATGCACTCGCGTTGGAGAGAAGGTTCACCACATCTAGACAACATAGCATGAAGAAAATCGTGTCATTGCATAGCGTCAAGTTCATAGGAAAAAGAAAAAGCTTCATAAATCTTTCGTGCCTTTGTCCGCTCAACGTCAGAATCTCCAACTCATGGATTTTACCAACATGGGATTGATTATTCAAAAAATTCCCATTTTCAACATCTGATTAGCTTTGGTAACAGTTAAATAAATTGAACAAAATGCAATACAATGGACTATTTTTCTTTTTCGACTAGCTTCACTGTTCAAAATGATATTTCCAAAAGCCCTTACTTTTGCGAAGTCGTGAAATGCGCTTCAAACATTAACCGTTACGACAATGTGGACCACCGGTGGCCCACACTCGTTGCAAAGCCATTCTTTTGTAGGTAGTAGTTCTTCCATAGATTAATATTTTTTCCAATTTTTTGCACTCTTGGGACCTGTAGGCTCCGTCGTTCAAAAAAATGTTCATAGTTGGTTTCAAAACTACCTTGCCTTTCGTAAATAACGTCAAAACCCTCCCAGGCCAAAACTGTTTTGCAAAATAGCATTGTCGTCAAGGGATTATTATATCTCCAGAATTTGAAGCTTTTAAAAAAAGCTGACTATAGCAAGAAAGTGAAAGTTCAGTGGATCGAAATTTTGGATACCGAATTTTCTGGGTACAGCCTGACACGAGCTTTGGAAATAAGAGTTATATGTATTTTATCCTCAAATATTATACAGAACAGTAAAGAAAGAAATCTATTAGAAAGAGGAGAGGAAGCTGCATCGAATGACACTTTGATTGCACCTTGTTTATTGTTCTTTGAGGACTGGGATGCCCAAATGTAAGATATAATAACATCAGAAATTTTTCAAATTGGAGAAGCCAGTTAGAGGTGCCAAAAAACATGTCCTATTGCATCTTGTTTTTAATTCAATAGTTACCAAAACTCTTCCAAAAGTTAGAAATGGAAATTTTACAAACTAATGTAAGGGTAGATAAATACAATGGGTTGGAATTCTGATGTTTAGTTGAGCGGACATCAAAGAAATCTAAAAAAAAGTAACCATCAGAAAGGGGAGAAAACTTTGCATCGAACACTGTTCAAAGCGCTTGTATATCTTTATTCTGAATGGCTTAAGCGTGGATCTGGAAAACAGCACGATTTGGGACCGACTTAACAAGATGTTACTTTTCCTTGATTCAAAGGCAGCGTCCAGGCAGATCTGGACCCATGGGGATTTTACGTGGAAAGTACTTTTGGGGCCCTGACTAAGGCACTGCCCAAGCGGCAGTGCAGAGAGTGCTCTAATGGTTGAGATATTCCCCTCGAAACTGGACCTCGCGATCGTATTCGCATGGATTCATGGCAGTTTCGCGTCAGGATACACGCTTTGCGCCATGAATCCATGCGAAATACGATCGCGGGGTCCAGTTTCGAGGGGAATATCTCAGCCGTTAGAGCCCTACCTGAGCTGCCGGTTCGGCAATGGCTTAGTTACGGCCCCAAAATTGCCATCCACGTGGGATCCCTATGTGTCCAGACTTGCCTGGACGCTGCCTTTAAATAGTGAAAGTTGATTTCAATATGCATGTTGAGCACGTATGGGGCTGTACCTGATCATGAAGTCTGATAAGTTTGAAGACATTAGCTCAATGCCAACAGTACTTCCAGTTTTTTTTCATGTAGAACGCTTTGTTACCATCAGGTATTAGCTTTCAATTATTTGAAGCTATTTTGGGAAGTGCTCGTGTGAGTGTTTTAGTTTAGAGCTTGTGGTGTTCTGCTTGAGTGATGTCAGTAAGCGAATATGACCTTCATGGTCTGACAAGCTCATAAAAATATTTGGCTTTGGAATGCTGCTCACAACAATTTGGTACAACAGTTTTGTAGAGAATGTTGACTCTGCTAATAGCATCCATTGCTTCAACCTATTTTGTAGAGAATTTTACAGCTGTCAGGCAAAGGCGATACCTACTACCCAAATTTCAAAGGTACAAGGCGTACCTTCTTCATTTTCTCAAACAAGCAGCTCGGCCGCGCCTCGTAAATGATTGCTCTCTCGCAAAGCTTTCTTTTAGGTAAGGAGCGGCAAGGTAAAGGGAAATGTTGCCCCAAGATTTTTTTAGATTGCTCAGTCTTTGCGAGTTTAGAAAAAACAGGTGCGTCTTGTTATGAAATTAGGGATATGGGGTAAGCACACTTAGCATTCCATCTTTGATAGGTAGTTTTGCAAACATATACCTCGTAGACAGTAATTGACAGGTAGACCTGTCTCAGGCAGTCTTGTATTTTGACGACATTCTGGGCATCTTACAACCGTAGCGGGGTTGTTTGCATCATGTCTAACAGACGGAGACGGAGCGACACGCTTAAAGGTGGACATATGATTTTGAGAAAAACTAGTAGTCTTTTGTATCACTCAGATTTAGACTTTTTTTGATTTACAAGCTTCCGTTCTCGAAACTCTGCAAGAGAACTTATGACCTATTCGTAATAAATTCATCTAGAGAGCAATTTTATGTAAAAAAGCAGAAAGTCAGTGAGTTTGAACGAAATAGGAGCTTTTGAAATAATATCTTGTCAAATGAGCTTACCAGCTTGTCCAAGCACGATTTGCAGAACGAATGTCCGCAGCTCAAAAAAAGCGGTTCCGCAAGACTCTCGCAGCAGATTGGACACTCAACCAATTTCTGTACATCGATCAACAAAGTACTACCAATTTCATCATTGATAGGCATCTAAATTTCATGAGGAAAAATTTATAAACGTGCTTTGTCAAGCAAGTAACAGATTTTTAAGCTGCATCATTCTTAGATCTGAAGAAAACCTATACATTCTGCGCTGCAACAGCTGCACTTTGCACTGTCACGTCAGATGTTGTCATAAATGCAATGGCTGTCTCAAAAATTCGGAAGTAAAGAGATAAATCTTCTACAGCATGAATCACAATAATGAGTGGCAATCAAACAATCTTACCTTCTCTTCAGAACGATAAGTCAAGAACCTGAGTAAATACATATCAATGCAATGATCAGATGTACTGAGGTTTTTACTGGAGTGTTATCCCTTTTTAGAGCTTATATTCGATTTAGAAGAAGTCTTTTCAGAAATGACTGTTGTGAGCGTAGTAAATTGTCCAATCAAAAATCTTTGGCAGTTCAATGATCTGAAAAATTAAGGAACAACGCGAGAAACTTGCCAGCCCAAAGATTACTTATTGCTAGATTTCCCATGAATTCCATTTGCAAAATTCAATGGAATAGCAAGGCATAAACTTCGTTTATTGTAAAAAAAAGTGTTATTTGAGCAGCAATACCAATCTTAAGTTTTATAGAAGTTTCCCGCAAAAAATTTCTTCAGAAAAATTGGAAGAGCTTACTTAATTTGCTATTATACTATTGATGGCAAAAATGAACTTTTGTGATATTCCAGTCTGGTGCTTCATGTGAAAACTTTTTTCATTCACTAATACTAAACCCGCTGAGCCCATTTTTCTCCTTAGAGAGCGAAAGTTTTGCATTAGCGTATTTTATGTGGTTTACAGGGCTACAACGAGACAAATCATGTGTTCTTTATTCTCAAATTTGAAGGCTCAAAATTTTCGAGAATTAAAACTTAATGAGCCTTCTGTAGCAGTAACCTTAGGCAAGCCCATGCTCTGAAAAGTTTCCGTCTCATATGCAAATGTGAACCGAAGCGAAAGGGAGAGATTGCACACTCGTTCCACTGTTATTCGAGGCACAGAATTGTAACTCGAATAAAATTATATGCAACGAAAACTATTGTTGGAAACTAAAAAAAGACTTTGCGATGACATGCGCAGACGCTCACGAGACGTTGGCCTAGTAAAGCTCGATCAGTTCAGGTAAACTGAACTTAACCCATCAGTTGAGCTTAGTTGAGGTGAACTGATGACCGCCCACCTTCGCATGCTATAAGCATGGCGAGTGAACTGATAGTTGAACATCCGTCTAAGTGCTGCGGTCAACTCTTGCACATCAGTTCACGTTCAGTTGGACTGAACGTGAACTGATGTTAGAGTAACGCAAATAGTGTGGAAAACAGGAGACGCAGAGAAGACTTCCTTAAGTTGCTCCTGAGTAACTTACGATACACAGCAATTTGCCTAACACTGCAGACAAAATTGGCGCAAAATTGCACAACCGCGCCCGAAAAGGAGAGGATAGATGAACAGCTGATTTTGGCGAGGAAGACAAAAAAACAAATTCTTTTCTTTTTTGTAAACTTTACTGATTTTTTTGAAGCTGTCCAAAACGAGAACTCATTTGTTCATTTCATTAAATTCACGTTGCAACCATTTCGTTTTTTCGTAAAATTTTCGTAACGAAATGTGTTTTTGTTTTATCTTTGCATTTGCTAGGCAAAATCCTTGATAGTGGTCATCATCGATTGGATAGTGGCTGCTATCAAAGATTGCCCGGCGATCCAGCAAAGGTTGTGTCGCTAGACGGAGTCGAACCACGTCCGCGGGCGTGTAATTCCAGTGGCTTACCCATTTGACCAAACCGTCTCAAGTAACCGGTTTTTCGAGAACGCACTTGATTTTAATGTCCAGGAAGCGATCCGCATCCAGACTGATAGCTCGCCGGATTCTAGACTGAGGCGCGATGAGATCAACTCCAGTCCGCGTCAAGAGAGATGCCCTGACGGGGGTTTACTACGGACCATTCTTCTTGTTGAATTTCAACACGGGGTCGAGAAAACGGGCAAATACGCCACTTTATACTCATGTGTTTAGCACAACTAACTTACAAGCATTACGTCACAAAGCTGTAAGAAAAAGGCCAAGCAATGCGATATATTCTACTGATTGACTACACTCACAAATGCTATGAAAGATTTGAAGTTTTTGTATCAGGTTATTGCAAAAATTATGTCCGTTCTGCAAAGTTTTGATTTGAAAAGCTATAAATTTGTTCAGTCTTCATATTTTTGGATGCAATCAAGACCATCTGAAGTAGCAAACCTTTCGTAACCTAACGCGCACCTTCATTTACTGATATTACAAACGTGAAGAAGACCATGCGGCAAAAAACCAAAAGTTTTCTTTGAAAACCTCGTCTTTGAGAGATTACAATTCTTTCAAGTCTTGTTTCTATGGCTGCTAATCAGCCCGTTTTGTAGATACAAGCCAGTAGTATATGCTTGCTTAGAAAGAACTATCGAAGGGTTCTGCGGAATGAAAAGACAGAAATTCAAAATTGTCTACTTTTTTAAGCCTTTTTGTGGTAGGCCAGAAAGTTCCAAACCATGGAAATTTGAATTCTTCATATAGTCGTCCTCCCCCCACTAGACACCTAGTGGATGGATTCGAATTTGAACTAGAGCACGCCGATTGCGGCAGAGCGCGGCATTGTCAACTCCAGTTCAACCTCATCCAATATTCTCTGGTGTTTCCTCGTCGTTGCATGGTGATTTTTTGTTTCAATGATGTTTGTAATCAAAATCGACGAAATTGTTGCTGCTTAGCGATGTTTCGTGCTACTATGCTCGCTTCTTCGGTTTTTATTTCAGCTAAACTTGAAATCAGAATTCAATTAACGTGCATAGTAGCAGGAAACATCACTCAAGACTAACAAAGTCTACAATCCAGTTAAAAAGACTGTTAACATTCAAAAAATAGGATTTAACGTTCCGAAAACACAAAAACGTCAGTTTGAGATCAAAGTGAGGGCTGCAGGTACCGCGCTCTGCCGCAAACGGCTTGCTCTACTTTAAATTCCAATTCGTCCACTAAGTGTCTAGTGGGGGGAGGACGACTATACATTGAATAGCTAAGCTTTTCTGCAAAAATTGTAGGAAAGATGTCCTGACCTCAAGTGTACAAAAATGAGCGAAGCTTCGGCAATTGTCCAAATGAGAAATTTTGGACCCATAGAATGCCAGCAGCGAGTACTGGTTTTTCAGGTATTCTCGAAAAATCCACTTAAACATGCTGTAGGTAAACAATCTCCAACTATACAGTAGCTATGTTTCAAGGGAATTCGTTCATTTGTGCCTGAATTGTAACCAAGAAAGTTAAAGCAACTTTTCGATTTTGAGCGCTGCTGTGTGGGATGCTGGTGAAATTCTCACAGATAAGACAGAAGATTAATTTCACCAATGAAGAAAGCTACCCCACGCTATGCAGAATCCATATCGAAAAAGAAATTTACAAGGGAAAAAGTTGTTCGGAAAGTAGGCCTAAAAAAAGGACATTATTATTGCAACAGCCTAATAACTATAGGAAGTTATCGCATAGTGATAATGGCCGGAGGTGGCATTATGCAAAGGAGGGGATTTTGAAATTAGGCCACCCATGCGGATTCATCGTATACATAAAGAACAATACGAAGCCAATAGATGGTGCTTACCGAACTCTCAGGTAAGAATAGTATCAAATGCGATCTTTTTTGCAGCTCAAGTTACTCTTGCTCGTACTCCACTCAAAGTTTCTTCTTTATATACAGAAAAGCTAGAACGAAGTTTCTTTTCTTTTTTTACAAGAAAGCTCAAAACCTTTGTTGAGAATAAGTTTTAGCACTTTCTTGCGAACATTTCATGGCGACGATCTCAATGGAATCAAGAGTGTCTGCAATTCGAGTCATCAATTTTTTTCATGCTTGATATTTGTAAATTCTGGAAACCTCTACAATAGCTATTCATTTACACCCTTATTCTGTTTTTTATGGTTCTGTTTTGCTTTTGAAACCACCTTTATTGACGACGTTTTTAAATGAAGTTTGAGGAAGCTTTTCTTATGATCTCACTGGTGCGAGCCCTCATTTCTATTAGGTCGTACCATAAGCTCGTAGCGTTTTGATATCGTCCTAACTTCTCTAGGAAGCTTTCGACTTGTGGCAAGATGCGCATATCATTGAAAAGAGCTAATCCTGCTTTTCGTTAAGAAACCTTTTGGTTTCGATGGAAATCTGATCCACTTTGATTTTTCAGCTTCCAAATGTAGAGTTTTCAAAGGATAAAAAGAAGCATTTTCGAGTTTTGTTTATTTTAAAAAAGTTTCGCATAGATTGTTTGCCACTCACAAAAAATGGCGCTTTCCCGTCAGTATGAGACAATTGTATTGGATTTTTTTTCAAAAGAAATCAAGAGTTTAACGGGGGGTCTCCTGAGCAAGACTTTTTGCAGTGAGAGGTTCAGCACCGAAAACACTCGGTCATACCGTACGCAACCGAACACCGCCTAAACCAATCCCTACCGCCAAAACTCAGACAGTTCCAGCGAGTTTTTCTGCATGACAAAATACGGCTCCTAAGAGCAAACGTTGTCAAAACTGCCTTGGAAAACTTGACTGGGAGATATTACTATAAGAAGTATAAGAAGTACTCCTCAAACCTCCGACTACTCCTCAAACCTCGCACTACCAGATAATCGTCTGTCCCGATTCCTTGCAATCCGCATGTACGGTGCTTGTTCCGATTGAAGACAATCTCAGTCGCTGCTTAGACGACTTTTTTGAGACCAAACTTGCTGAGTTTTGGGAGAACGACGCTGAAAATCTGACGAAGGAAAATGGAAGAAGGTTGTGCGTAGCGCACCATCAACTAAATTTTTGACAAAGCTCTGTCATTAGGTTGGTTTATGAGAACGCTACGAACTTAAACAAGACCTATTATAAATAGTAGTATCTCTTGAAATATGTATTTTGTTTACAATTCTTGCCTACCCCGCCCTGCTCTTTTCAGCGCACCATCAACTAAATTTTTGACAAAGCTCTGTCATT